AGCGAATGGCCTGGTTTTGGTTTTCTATCGTGTCTGCTTTGCTTTTCACTTCTTCAACTGCAGTTTTTAAGCTCTCCAGCTCCGCCTGTAGGAAGGTGGAGCCCTCTGCAGGCGGCGGAGGCTGATCCACGGCCTCCATTTGGGTTTTTATTTCTTCCAGCTCCTGCTTCAGGTCCGTTCTTACTCTCTCCACTGCCGCCTCCTGTGCAGATAAGCTGCTTTCATGTGTGTCGTATTTGGCGAGCAGCGACTCCACCTTGCTGCTGATGTCAGCCAGCGATGCAGTCAGTGATTCCCCGCCTTCCTCTGATGATTGAACTTTGACCTCCAGATCATCGGATCTTTTCTGAGCCTGAGCCGCCGCCGTGTTCACTTTCTCCTCCACGGTGCGGACGGCGTTGGAGACCTGCTCCAGGCCGCTCTGCAGGGTGGCGGTTTGGTCCTCCAGGGCCTGAACCCCGGCCTCCGCCGCAGACAGGGCCTGCCTCAGGCTACCGGCGGTGTCTTGCATCACCGACCTCATCGATTCGACCTCCTGGGACAGAGAGGCGACCTCCTGGTTGCGCGTCTGGAGCTCTTCCCTCACTGCGCCGATCTGGTCTCTGAGGGAATCAGAGGTTGCGTCCGCTGCCTGTTTGGCCGCTTTAATCTCGGCGACGACTTCAACGATGGCGGACAGCTCCTGTTTGACGAGCGCGGGGTCCGCGGATTCGCCCAGGCGGGCTTTGAGGTCAGCCAGCTGACGCTGCGCTTCGCCCTGACCCTCGGCGAACTCGGCCACGCTGGCGGAGATGGACTGGCTCACCTCGGCCAGACGCTCCTCCACCGTTTTCTCCAGGGAGGAGAAGTCCTTCTCCCGGGCCTCCTTGACCTCCCGGACGCCCTCCGCCAGGTCCTTGAGGAGGTCGTTCTGCAGCTTCTGGAGCGCCTCCTCCACCCTCCTGGTCTCCACCTCGCCCCGCTTCATGCGGCTCACGGCCGCCTCCAGCTCCACCCGCGTGACTCCCAGCGACGACTCCAGTCCGTCAACGTTGCTTCGCAGAGACTCCACCTTGATGAAACGCGGGAACAGTCGATGAATAATCAGTTAATCGGAGAAGAAAATGTTTCATTGTGGTCAAAACCAGCTGCTGGGCCAAACTTTGACATGCGGCCCAAAAAACGCCAAGTTGAAAAACTTTGATAGCAAAAACTATTTTATTTTTTATTTTTACTTGTTAAACAATAAACTAAACACAATATTTTAATGAGATTTGTAAATTATAGATTTAACACCCAAAAAATATCTTTTAAGTTTGCTAGATTAAAAAAACATAAAATTTTCACATTTTTCTGGATTTTTTTTTTTTGTCTTTTTAGTAACAAGAACAGAATATTCCTCTGTCTTACTTTATTTTGACAGGCTAATTAAACTAAGATGACTAGGGGTTTTAGTTAAACCCACTGGATATTTTTTTGTTTTACTTCACTATTAAATTAAATTCAAAGCAAAAACCTTTGAGTTGCACTTTATCTGGTGTCAGTGAAAACTGTTTTTAAATCTGAATCAACTTCATTCAATATTTGGAGTTATGGCCAACACAACTTCTTCTGCTGCCGTTCCTACAACTACAGGCAGAAAATTGGCCTAGTTGAAATTTCTACTGGAAGAATCCAAATCAATGGGAGAAATCGCAGACTGAGCTGCGAAGTGAGATTAGAATTGAGCAGAAAGAAAGCTGAGGCTCGACTGCTGAAATACATTAAACGATGCAAATAATCAAGTCCCTTTTTGAATAAGAAAATAAACATTTTATTGCCTAAAATGCAACAACAAAGTGTTTTTTTTATCTTAAATGCAAAATGTGTCTGGATTGATTACTTTTGAGAACTGCACTTTCAAAAAAATAGCCTTTTTATTGAGTACAAACTAAAGTTAGTGATTAACCATTTCAGCTCTAATATCAACTCTTGTTTAGTAGAGTAACTGAATTGTTAAGACTCCACCATCCTCATCCTCCTGAATGAACAGTTGCAGTTGCAACATTCAGTTGTTGACAGAAAACTATTTTTCTGGACACTATTTTCAGTCTTCTGTCAGATTTTTATTTAAAATCTTCTTTTTTATATTTTACAAAGCAATGCCAATTAACTTTAGCAAGCATTCCAGGACTTTTGAAGTTAACTGAGGCCCACAGCATCACATAACCTCCACTGTACTGAAGAGCAGGTATGAAGTGGTTTTCTGCTGAAGGAAGCCAGTCTTGGCCTCATCTTTTTGTTACTAACCTCGCACTTTATTGTGAATATCAACCTTTGCAGAGGCAAATTTTTTGTGATTCATATTTTTTGTTTTTATCTTTGGCACATAATTAAATTTTTTAAGATTTGCTATCTAACTTCATTCTGTAAACTGATCTTATGACCTTGTCTTTCTGTTGTGTTTGAGTTATCCAATGTGAAAAATGTAGAGGCAGGAGGCTTGAGTATGGAAAAAGCGGTCTAGTCAAAGTCCAGACCTAACGCCAAATGCTCTTTAAAGATGTCCTCCAACAAATCTGAGTTTCAGCTGCTACAATTTCAACAAGACGTTGCTGGAAGTACACTCCAAAGAACCAGCAAATGTAACAAAAAGATGGTTCTACCAAAAAGAAGCCATGCTTTTTAGATTATTTGTGAATATAAATAATAAAATAAAGTGCTTTAGCATATCTTTCTAACAACAGATTTTAGTTCACATTCACAAGAGACAAAGAGTTGGGTGTCTCTTGCTTTTTCCACTTGAGGTTGAAGTAATTGATCTCATTCTAATAAATCCTGTTCAGATTTAAACAGATTAATAAAACACAAATAGTATATTACGCGAACCCATGTAGCGTAACGTTTCATTCATGTTTAATCGATTCTCTGAATTTTCAACTCACCTGTTGAAGAACGTTCTCCATTTTGGTACCCAGCTCCGCGCCTCTGCGTGCGCTCTCCTGGTGCTCTGCGTGGATCTGACGGACTTCTTCCACGACTTGTTGTAAATAAAAAGCTGCAAATCCCGCAGCCCCTATCATCGCGGTGTAAAACACCGCGTTTGCCAGAAGGCCGAGGCAACTACCTGAGCGGGGCCCCTGAGGCCCGGGGCCACTCGGCCCGTTGCTGGCGCCTCCACTCTTTTGGCTCTTCTTGGACGCGTCGTCCTGGCTTGGCGCTGCGCTCTTCTCGCTGTTCTTTGGTCGGTTTTTTGTCGTCATCTTTCAGCGGAGGTTCGGTCCAAATGAGTGCGAGAGGAAGGAGGCTGCGCTGGTTGTGCAGTCGTGGATGGAGTGGGCTCCCAGTTCAGCCCCACTGCGGAGCAGCAGCGTATCAGGGAGCGCGGCGTGTCTTTCCACGGGGCTTTTCAGTGTCGAGGTATGCGGATGGGGGCTGTCCTATATGCCCAAAAGACAACTCTGCGTGGGTCTGGGTAAATGTCCCAAACCCACAAGCAATTCGCCAAACAGTGAAAGGCTTGTTACGTTTTAAAACACCAGTAATGCGTTAGTTTTGCAGGATTTTATCTCTTTTCTTTTGACGCCTTTTGTAACTTTTTAAAAAGTCTAAGTGGTGTCAAAACTTCTTAGATATCAAAACTTGCACTTTGCGTTCCAGAAAGCAGTCACTTCCTCCAACCACGCGTGTAATCGCCTGTTATACACGCGTTATTACTTCTGCATGATCATGCTTGCCTGATGCAAACTTGGTGCAAACGGTTAAGAGCAGAGCAGAGCAGGGAGGAGCGCCCCACTTTCCCCCACCACGCTCCTCCTTTCATACGTGGCAGCTGCGGTCTGCATGCGGCCACATCCCATAATTACATATCTGTTCTGAAACTTGCATATCTGAAAACCCAGAACAACTATAAGACGTTAAAAGTTGATGCAATGGTTTCCAGTTTGCCTTTATGGAAATTTGCACATATTTTTCTTAGTACTGATTGCTACACATGACAACAAACCTTTAATTTCTTGGTGATATTTGTAATTTTATTTTACAACAAAGCTCCATTCTGGAAATAATTACAAGAAATGATGAACATGTTAATTTAAGGACACTTTTGACCACCAGGTGGCACTAAAGTAGCGTTTAAGTCTGAGCCAGACGTCTTTTCTGTTGTTGTTAAATCGTCTTATGAACTTTTTACCACTTTATTACAGTGTTTCATATTTCTTCAGTTGTTCGAAGTCATTGTTATTACTTTATACTCTGGTTTTCTTAGAATTACTTTCCATTTTATTATCTTGAACCTACTGTGAAGAAGAATCCAACCGCGAAATTGAAATTTTCTGTCTTTTTCCAGATATATTTATTGGTGTTCTTGTTTTTCAGACTGTAATAAATGTTATCGAACCAGCTTCCTGGTTGCTAAAGAAGAAGGTATCCACCAGCATCACCATGTTTCATCATGAGGAGTGATGTGTTCAGGGTCAAGCATTTTGCATTTGGTAGGTTAAAAAATTATTAGCATTTGGCTCTATCTCTCCCAGTGTTTTTCTGTGTCTAACTGCACTTCTCTGACTCTTTTTCGTTTTTAAATTAACTTGCCGCACTACCATAAAATTTGTGTAAATTACATGACAAAAAGTTGACCTTTGGATAGACTTTGATAGATGTTTGCTGTTGTAAAAAACTCGATTTTTAAAAGCTGGATTGTTTGATCAGTGATGCTTTTTTACTTCAGCTGCTGATGTTTACGATTTAATACATTTGCTAATGTTCTCCAAAAACAAACCTCTGATACCTTCGCTGTGTTTATAATGACATTAATAAACCCAAAGGTAGATTCTATTTACTAATTTAGTGTCTTATGAAGGTAAAATGGATGCATTAATTCTTTTAAAAGTATCTAATTTGTTCCTGTCACATTAAAGATTGTGGCTGTAAATTGAACAAAATAGAGTGACGTCAGAGAAAACTTACACTGCGAATGCTGTTGTTTCCGAGCGGACCTTGAAGGCAGCATCTGTCTCCGCCCGGTGGGCGCTGTGGCAGCGGCCAGACGCAGTTCCCCGGATGCTGTGAGACCAGGTGCACTCTTTATGATACTGCAGAGACCTGCACCGTCCCCGAACCTCATCAGGACACCCGGTAAGGCTTTGTCCTCTTGTCGGGGCTGCCTCTCGGACGTCTGAAATGTAATTTACCCGGCAGCCTCAGCCCTCACTCGGAGAATAAGGCGATGGGACGGCGGTGAAATGAAGACCGACACCGGGAGAAGAATTTGAGCTGCTTGTTTATAGCTCGAGTGGAGGTGGGGAAGCTAGCAGTTAGGCTGGCCAGAAAGCTCGTACCCGGCGTCGGCGGCTCAAATATCGGATTAGCTCAACCATGGCTGGGCTCATCAAGAAGCAGATCCTGAAGCATCTCTCCAGGTGGGTGCTTCGTTGAGGTTAGCAACAGAGATGCAGATTCAGCTGTAAGGAAGCCATAAACTGGCTTTTAGCACATTATCGCTGTTATTTTGGGAGCAAATTCAGCTCAACGTGGGGTGTTGTTACTTACAATGTGCCTGTCAGACAGTGCGCGGGGTTTAGAGTCGTTAATGAACTAGCTAAAGGGTTAGCTCCTTAGCTAGCTCTCCTTTGCTAAAGCAGGTTCAACCAGCTGTGAGTGAATCAATTATCTCAGCTTCCACATGCTGTCACATTATTTCCAGTAGTTAAGAAACAATTTGAGGTATTTTAAATTCATTTTCTGACGTTGTAAACGGTTAAGACTAAATTTAGGTGGTTAACTTTCAAGTCCATTTCCCTGGACAGACAGTCGGTGGGATAAAATTAACAGAAAAACAAATTGAGAGACAAAAAAATCATACATAAAGCAAATAAATAATAATTTAAGTTGATATAGTTTCATATCAGAAAGTTAGACATGATTCAGTGAGTCGTTAAGATCCCCTCACTGTCTTCTGCAGGGCTCTATTGTTCATATAATAAATATTTATTGTGTTTTTATTATAATAAAAATATAAAAAATATTTTATTATATTTTATTAATATAATAAAAGAGTATTGCAATTTATTAGAACTAATAATTGGCTTATTTTGACATTGGAAATAATTATAATACATAATCACTTTGTAGATTAAGCAAGTCATATAAGGATCTTTGTATTATCATAATATTATTGCTATTCAGTTAGTTTTCTTAATATGATAAATATGAAGAAAAACAAAAAGGTCTTAAAACCATACACTTTATTTAAAAATATATAATTTCCCCATTAATTGCAATGTATTTTATGCCTTTAACATTATTTTTATGTGCATTACTTTGTACCTAAAGTTAAATGAATCTTAATTTTTCCTCAGAAGCTAATAAATGGCAGTGGAAGGGTGGATTTTAGTTATTTATATATTTATAGATGTCCTGATGTTATGAGTAGCATTCGGCTCCACAGAGCTCTGCATGAATTATTTATTTTTTCCACCGTCTCTCGAGGGACTTTCAGTGTTTCCCTGTTTTGTTCCTGGGAAGCCTGGAAGCATGCCAGAAACAGAATTTATTAAAATTTAATTTGAAATAAATTTGAAGTGGATGTAATTTATCTTTGGGGCTGTTGAGTGTTTAAAAACTGAAGCAGCTCGATGGTCGTGTCAGAAACGACTCTAGCTCGGGGAGTTGGACTTTGACACTAAATTTCATCAGCATGGTGCTTTGTCCTTCACACACCTAAAGCCAGAGGCAGCACTTGTCCTCCTCTGTCCTCGTGTACTTGTGTGTATTGACAGTGAGTAAGTGTGTTTGCACGTGACTGTGCGTGCCCTCAACAGCGTCAGCAGGAAATGACTGGCGGAGTAGTGATGTCGTTCAGCTTTTAGGCTCTTTGTGTCTGCCTTATTGGTTGGTTGCAGAGCAGACGCTGACCTCTCTGACAGGCAGCCAATCCGGCGCCTGTCTTGTGCAGTGACTTCACAGAAACGGTGATGCTGTCAGAATGGCAAAGCACCATTATCTCATTTACTCCTCTTTGAGGGCGCAGTGATTGTTGCGTACTACGTGCCGGGATGTTTCTGCGTCTGCATCACTCAGGAACAGTTTGTTCTCCGGCAGCTTATTTATACCCAGTGTAGGTGTGCTTACACAGCTACAGGTTATGGAGGAGGTGTCAAAATCAGAAAGGACACCTGCCTTTCTGATTCTCCTCAGGTTTGCATCAGATTCAGAGTTGTATCACAAGTTGGCATCCCTGTGCCAGAGGTCAATCAATAAAGGTTTTCATAGAAGGTTATGTCCAGGTAGCCCCCAGAGGAGACTTCAGACTGTGTGTTTAGTCTGCAAAAGAGATACGGGTTTGTGTATCGACACAGAAGTCTGGCCACCGGCCAGATTCTGTTACACAGACACAAACAGCACAACCCCTCACTGATTGGCACCTCTAGGAAAGATGTGTGACAATGCTTCATGATGAATAATTTACTAGTCACTTCATACTCAGAAATGTAGAGAAATCCAATCAATTCCTCAGTGGGATTTTGTTCCCACTTAAATTATAATCTATTGTTAGGAATGCAAACAAGCAATTTAAGATTAATTGTCAATTAATGGTTTATTAACCTTTTAGTGTTGCGGTTTGGCTGCCATCCTGCAGAGGGCACCACTGGTTATCCTGAAACGAAGGTGTTGATACAGAAATAAAGATGGCGGAGCTACCCTAGTCCAGTAAAGAGAAACTATGGGATGCAAAATACACTTTATTCGGTTCTGTTTTGAAATATAAGCACTCGACAAGCTCCTTAAATTTAAGATGGATTTATTTTTTTTAATCCAGCATATTATTAAAAATTGCAGCCCTTTATGGAAACAGTTGATTTATTTCATACAACTCAGGTTTTTAAGAAAACGGCCACTTATCAATTAATTGTTAGTTGATCAACAAGATCAGTCGACGTTAGATTTATTCTTTAATCAATAACTTGTCTCTAATTGGTATAAATTCTGCTGCAAACATTTATTTGCACACCAAGCAATTGCTGTATAATAAATGTAACTAAAGCTTTTATGAACTATTAATTTGTCCGTGGCCTACTAATTTTCCAGTGCACTAATTTTTGTTTTAGTGTTTTTGCTAACTTTGAAAATGTTTATTCCACTTAAAGTTAATATTATATTACTTTAATAAAATATATTGGTTAAGGTTTATGACCAAGGAGGCATTTATTAAATATATAAAGAAGTCCTCCTTTTTAAATCATACTCAATGCCATCTTTGTTGCATTTATATGAAGTAATAATCTTGACATTGATGAGTCAAGATGATCCCACCCTATTCCCAGATGATACTAAGCTGAAAGCCTCTTTTCTGTTCCTGGAGGATTGGTTTCACCGTGAAAAATGGCTCCATTGTTGTTGCCGTGTTTGTCATCATGAGCTGCTTCTTTCCATCCTGCAGTAAGCTCTGTGATGATGATGCAAAGCAGCGCTATGTTCAGTGTGAAGAGTCACTGCTGGTGGGAAAGCTATTACTGCATGAGTCATGACTGAGTGTGGGGCAGTGGGTGTCTAATCAGCACAGCTCTGTGAAGCCCTTGTGTGTGTAGGCTCTGTTAGGAGTGTGTGTATTCTATGTTTGGTCAGGATTCCCATAGACGTTGGCATCCAGCTGCTGTGTATCCAGGGTTTAGCTTCGTCTAGGTGAAATGGTTGAAATGGTTGTAAATATTAGCCATTGTTGGGTTTTTAATTTCTGCTTTGGGGTCCTGATTTCATGTAGCTTTGACCGCCAAAAACCAGGAGACGCGACGTTTTAGAGCAAAACAGGAAGTTATTCAAAGTGAGGTCACCCCGAGGGAAAATGTAACTAAAATGATTCACCCCTAACTGTTAATTGGATTCATCAGCAAAAATATACAAGTTAACAGCTGTTTGCAATTTCAATAGCTCAACAAAACTAACATTATATGTTGTTTCTCTTAGGGATGCATGATTTATCTTTTCCAATTCCGATATGTGAGGATTAGTATCAGCTGATACCAACTGATCTGATTCAGCAAAACAGCCGAATTGATTTAAAACATTTTTCTTTTTTTTTTAACGGTCATAAATTTACTAAATTACAAATTTCTGTGATAACTCTGCACCAGTACAGCACTTAAAAACTCCTTTAGCTTCATAATATTTTGGAGTCAGTGTAATTAGCAGTACAACAGCAGGGTTTCCCCCAGTGTATTTTAAGCCTGGCGGGGCACCAGGCTTTGCTTGTGCCCCCGCAAAATAAGCTTTGTTTATTTATTGAAGTTTTTAAAAAAATTTGCATTTTTAAAAACTTTATAGTTGGTGTTCAGATATTAACATAATTATCAAGTGATACTTTTAAATTTCGGTCTATTTTGAAAATTTTTTAACTGAAAAGCGCAGCTGGATGAATGACTGGCCGAGCCTCACAGCTACCGGGCTCACAGCCACAAGGGTTTCTAGAGAAAACCTTGAACAGCCAACGTAAAATAAGTCATAAAGAAACTAAAAGTGACAAAAAGAAACAAACATTCAGGAAGTGCAAATAGGAAGTTGAACTATAAAGAAATATATTGCATATCAGGACTGATATCTCTAGTTTCTCTTAATTAAAAACTTGTGCTTATTTATCCAGCGGTGAGCAAATTATGAACTTTTAGGATACAGTTCAGAGCCTTTAACAGCTCCGGTATTTGAGGTGCTCTATTTCTAGCACTCCTTATGCAACTAATGAAGCTCTTAATTGTTTACATCAGCTCTGTGCCAGTGAGACCTCACCTGGTTTGCAAATCTCTGCTCTTAACCAAAATGTTATTTAGAAGTTGGAATAACGCTGAAACTGCAAAGATCATTTAATATATTCACTCTGCCGTCTTTTAATTAAAATAAATAAACACAGTATGGTGCTGTGCTTTTCTTTTTTTATCAGTCACTTCATCATCTTTAGTAACGTTTGCATTTCAATCATATTTATCTAGATTTCAACCTAATGTCTGACATCTACATAGATTACAAGGAACCGTGGTAAATCAAACAATCAACATACAAAAAGAGAAGATCCATACGACACATTTCTACGTGATAAATAGGTTATTTTATTCAATAAATTTAGAAAAAAATCAAATTTAAAATGTGAACTGGTAACATACCAGAAAAAATCTTTATTACTTGGAGCAGGTTTAAATCTGATCTCTCTTTATGGGTTTTTTTATGTTTTATTTTTATGGTTAATCATAAAAATAAAACATTGTATTCAGCCCTCTGCTGGACTATAATGTTTTATAATTGAGTGATTCTAGTTCCAATAGGTCATATGTGCTCACAGTCTGTGAGCTCCTATTTGTTTTTTCACAGTCTGCAGTGGATCTGTACTTCTGCTCACTTAGAGCCGTGAAAATGGTTGGAAACCCTGAATTCAGTCATTTGGATGAATGACACAAGTCTTCTTGGGAATACAGTACACACATTCATGAAAAAATAATAACCCGAGACTCTTTGTTCAGTGTTGTTTTCTTTCTCTTTTATCCCTCGGTAAACTTAGCCTGATTAAAATTCTCACGCCTTCACAGCAGAGCGATGCCCTGTGGATATTTGTTGTTGCACACGCCGTCTCTCCTGTTTGTCTTTTTATATATTTCACAATTTAGGCCGCCTCCGTCTGGGTGGATAAAATAAGATGGCTGTTGTCTGACTCACTCTGGTAATTTTTTCTTAAGGCCAGACTCCTGCTGGCATCACTGTCATCAGGCTGCACCACAAATTCATCATCAGGGAACGCAGAAAAGCTGTTTCCATTCTGCAAATCCACAGACGTTTGCACACAGTTTGGTGTGCTAGAAAGTCTTCAGTGTGTAGTTGAGAGAAAAGATGCATTGTAGACATGTTTCGATTGAATTTAGCAAAATTAGAAACCATAAGAGTTACTAGTTTGATAGCTGAAGATGTCTTTAGTATGTATTTAATTGATAATGTCTAAAATTGAACATAAGAGATTTGGGTAAAATTTTTGCAAAGCTGGTTTTGATTTTTCTGTAAGGACTACAGCATTGACATTTCAGGCACCCGATTGACGGTAAAATCACAAACTTTGAGTTTTTTTCGCTCACTAACAACCTCCACTCTGAATTTATGAGCGTCACCTGGAATGGTGCATTCACTAATTATCTCAGCTCAGTCACTAGCCCATTTCTATTGGCTCTCTGGTGAAAACTTTGTGTTTTATTGTATTAAAATTGATTTAAGAGAATTTTATTAATTTTTTTCTTAATAAAAAAATGGTGCATATTTTTTTAAATTCTATAACCTTTTGGGACAAAAGACCTTTAAGTTGACCTTTATGTCAAAGGAAAAAGTATTTTTGGACAGTTGTGCTCTTTAACCTCCAAATGGGACTAATGCAAGTTTGGATATTGCTGTTGAGTCGTTAATATTTCATTTAAGAGGTGGAAAACCACTCACTCTCCACAGTGGTCTCCTATAACCTTTTTACGAACCTGGTTTTGGTCTGATGAGCGCAGACTTGCTGGCTGGGATAACAGCTGAAGACTATTGAGACAAAAAGGACGGGAAATATGACTATACTCAAACTGCTGCATTGGAAAAAGGTCAGCAGGTGTGATTTTTCTTTAGTTTTAACTCTAATAGTACTGATGGCAGCACTGCTGATTGCGAACATTTAGCAAAATTACAGTATTGATTTATTTATGGAGTTGAAGCAGGAGGTGACCAATGAGAGGCTGAGAAGCCAGAGAAGGAGCGAGAGGGTAAGCCAAACTAGCTGCTTGATACTTGATCAGCTGCTTAGATGAATATTTCACTCGTCACATGAGACAAACTTAACGTTCCTTTCTCTGAGAATCCACATTTTGTTTTTTAAGGGCCTGTTTTAACTTCTTCTCCTCATTATGTCTCCTGCTGGATGTAGCTTTTATCTTCCTACCTGAATCCAGCTACTTACTGGTGTTTGGTTTGCACATCTTTTGTTTGGAATTTTATTCTTTTGGTTCTTCGTACCTTTTAATTTGGATTTTTATATTTATTTGTACCATCATGTCAATGTCTGATTTGGAAAAGTAACCAGCTAAAGTCAGTATTCCTTGTTCATTAACCTTCGTTGTATTCAGCCCTCTGCTGGACTATAATGTTTTATAGTTGAGTGATTCTGGTTCCAATAGGTCATATGTGTCAAACTTAAGGCCTGGGGGCCAAACCTGGCCCGCTATAGCTTTTCATGTGGCCCTCTAGATTCCAGACTAAATATTAAATCTGCTTATAAATCAACTCAATGTAGTTTTTATGTTTATTGCCAAATATATCAATCAGTCCCTCCAAATTCACACAAAATCAACAAATCCCCACACTTTTTTGTTCTAATACATACTTGGAGATTTCTTTCAATAATTGTCAAAAACCTTACTTCATTGATGTCAGATTATAATACATCATCGTTACAGCGAGTAATAAAAAGTCATATGTCCTGCCATAAGAAAGCACAAATATTGCAAATATTTCCAAATGTGATTTTTATTGCAAAAAATCACAAAAAGTATCATAAAATTCTGAAGATGTTCAGTAATATTATTTGATTTAGGAATTCTTTGACCTTTTAAGATTCTGTGAACATGTTTTATTCATTCATTCTGGCACAACTGGCCCTATAAAACCATTCATGATCTTGATTTGGCCCAAAACTAAAATGAGTTTGACTCCTCTGCAGTATTTTAGCTGTCCATCGTGAATAATTGGCTCCAGATTGAGTTATTCATGCACTATTGGCTTGGGATGACAAAGTTTCACAGCAGCTACACGTAAAACACCAAAGATTTTGCAAACAGTCTGAGATAGGAATCCAGTTGTTTGCTTTCTGTGGGATCAGCCTGAGGAGTTTTTTGTCTGTTAGCCGCCATCTTGGAGCTAGGTAGCTCCAAGATTCTGCAATCACTTAAATTATTAACTGGTGTCTTTCAATGCTAATTCAAGCAACTATGAAGTATTCCAACCATAAACTTCTCAATCTCCTCATTTCTAGTAGATAAGGTGAACTCCGGAGTTGAGCCGTGAGCTCATGTTCTGGGAGCTTAGTGTTCATCATGAGGCTATTGGGTGAGTTGCTAAGATTGCTTAGCACGTTGTCAACGTTAGAAAGATTAAGTGTAATGTGATCAAATATAGAGGAGTTACGGCACATTTCTGGTCTAATCCTTAAAGCTATCCACTTGAAGTCCTGATGCTAAAATCCCACATGGAAAGTTTATGGTTTGTTACCAAATTCACCTCAAAATCCAACTTGACGACCATTAAAAACAGTACATTTTAGTTTATATCATCAAATCAGACACCTTGTAGTACTAGATAACCCTTGTTGCAGTGAAGCTGTTTGAATGTATCAAAACCATTGTTGATCCTTATAGCCTAAACAACTAGAAGCCCATTTCATTGGTTTTCTACTGACCTGGGGCAAATGTTTTTGCCCATTTGGTCCAGAGATCTTCTTACGACTTGTGATTTAATTTCTGTTTGTGACCAGTTACCAACTAAGGTTTTTATTTACAGTCAAAGTATGAGCTTTGATCCTGTCCGTTTACAGCTGTAGTCTGATTGTGTGTGAAATCAGACTACAGCTTAGTGTTGCCTCAGTTATTGGTGTTCTGCACTTTCTCGTGTTAAAGTATGTTTTTTATTACTTTTGTGGTGCAGAAAACTATAATTTATATCTGCTTTGCTGTTTAATGACCAAACCAGATTGCTAAACATTGTCAGTTTGTACTGCAGTAGCAGATGGTGATATTGGTAAATCATTTCATTAGATTGAGGTGCAGAGATTAATGGGTCAATAAGACCTTCAGCATCAGAACACTCTGGTAACTATTAACTAATAGTGTGGGTGGAAAACACTCAGGTCGTAGGCATCCCGGTTGTGTGTTTAAATGTATCAAAGAGGCCAATATTTGCTCACAGAACCTAACCTGGAACATTTTTATTAACCTGTCTTTATTATGTGGTGGAAAAGCCACACCGTTTACGTAATTTGTGTAAAAAGCCATTTTTAAATGGTGGTTCGAATTTATTTAGATAAAAAGTAATCCAAAACAAACTGATCCTATATGGAAGAAGTAATTGCCTTTTATACCCAGACTGTCACCTTTGACCTCAATAAAGTGTCGGTGTTTATAACAGTTTGAATTAGGTCTTTCCATTTCAGTGGCCCATTGCTCCAATGTGAGAGTTTTTGAGTATAATTTACCTGTTTAATGTCTCAATCAGATTTAAGCTTCGCCTTTGACTAGGCCACCCAGTTTGTGTCGAAACTGACTTAGTCAATCGTGTCTTGATCAGCTCTCATAAAAGAAATGACTGACAGTTTTGGGGCAAAGTGATTACAGTTTACAACCTAAGTAAAGTCTTTACAAAATGTAAATAATGATTGTTTTGTTTTAGGGCTGAAACAATTTATTGTCATGAATTGATTATTCAAATAATTGTCAAGTAACTTGGTCGCCAATTAATTAACTAGAGTAGAGTCAGAAAAGGTCATTTGTTGAATAAATAATGTATTTAGAGAAGTAATAAAGCCAAAACTGTATAAGTTACATACACATTTTGAATCTAGAATAAAAGCACTTTAGTCTGTAAATATGTTTTACACTAATCTCTTCAAGTGGAAAAGTTATTGCATTTAACTGTTTGTTTGTTTATTTGTATCTTTTAATGTTTTTGTCTTATTGTATGAAAAAGCTTAATCTGGAAAATGTGACTGTTTGTGTAGGATTAATGTATTAATTGTCAGAAAGTAGTCATTAGTTGCATCCCTAAATTGCTTTAATTCTTCTCAAAGCAAAGTTTTAATTCATGCGGGTTGCCCTGAAAACACTGTTCAACCGTTTACCATCTGGGAATATTTCTACCCTGGTAGATTTATCCCTGGTTTCAACTAGAAACGATAGAAATATTAGTTTATGTTAAAATTTGAGTTTTAACATTGAGCTTTGCCACAGGCCACTTTCCAAACCCTTAGATGTGGGTGTTTGTTTTTTGTCAACATCTGATGCACCTGCAGCGTATCCGGTGGCGAATGTTTGCCAACAACTCCTCTCCTATAAATATCCGCAGCCGCTAAGCTTGGCGCTGTCCTGTTGTCTTGTAGGTTTGCTAAGAACCTGTCGCCGGATAAGATCAACCTGAGCACGCTGAAGGGGGAGGGCCAGCTGACCAACCTGGAGCTGGACGAGGAGGTCCTGCAGAGTCTGCTGGACCTGCCCACCTGGCTGGCAATCAACCGTGTGTTCTGCAACAAGGCGGCCATCAGGGTGAGGGCAAAACAAGGATTTCAAATTATGCCCCAGACTTATTTTACATGGAGTTATTTAAGGACTCAAGTGTGTATGCACACCTATTGCATCAGGCAAATAGGTGATTATGATTTTCATGACTGGTGAGGCAGAGATTGCCTCAGAATCAAATGTACAAATCTAAAATCCAATTTAAGAGCTAATATTTTGATTTTGACCGTAACTAATTAATGTTTTTAATCAATTTAACAATGCAATAGCGAGAAAAAAAATCTATTTTTCAAATGGAATTTTTTTTACTGACTTTCAAAATTATGTATTATCTGTTACTTGCAAATGAAAATGTAAAATATTTCTATCACAATGTTATAAAATAAAACGTCTTTCTCTTGAATTTTTCTTTCATTTTTAAAAATCCGGGAGCCACAAGAAGAGTGGCTTTTAAAGGTTCTATTCTGACTGTATTTTTGTATTTTTTCTGCTTTTTTCAGTCATTTCAATGAGTAGAAGAAGAGCACGTTTTGCCTGTAGTGCTCAGCACTGCCCCCTATCAGTGAGGCATGGTACTTTCTGCCTCATGCATTTTCACAGAGCTTTTTTTGGCTGATCAGAAAGATTAATTATTTCATTCGCATTCATTAAATATGTTAGACTGTAGAAGATGGGTAGTTCCTCCTTTCTACTTCATTTAGTGTGTGACATAGCGCCCCCAAAGGTGAGGCACAGCACTGCACTGCCTCAGCCCAAACTGTTTTTATGTATTTCATGCATAAATTCAGCCATTTTGACCATGAAATTATCACCAATAATAATAATTAAAAAAAAAATCATGAAAAATGTATTTTGTATTATTAATGTTCGGGTCTATGTACCTAATTTACTTGTAGGGATTATGCCTCCTCTGACTGTATGCCACTAGCAGTTATCTTGGTCTTTGACTGTTCTACTCTACTTTTATGGTCTCCCTTTATTTCATAACTTGATCTGTCTCAGCTTTGAGTCACATTCATGAGCAGACTTTGGCACACCCTGAAAAAGCTGAAAGAAGCTATATAATTTACTTATGACTCCACATTTGCACAGACCAACGTCCATTTTCCACCTCTCTTTCTCTTCTTGGACTTTTCCTTCAGTTATTTTCGCTCACTTTTAGACGCCATTTTGTAAAGGAGCACCACAGTATGCGCTGTGGTTTGTTCATCCTTGATCGCCCTCCTTTATCGACTGTTTTTATGCAGACTTTGCAGTTTTTCAGGTGTAATCATTTACTGGAGGTTTTTGTGTTGCGGCAGATTTCTTTATGACAGGTAGAGCTGGTGTGCAGAAACCGTTTTTCCTGCTTAGATACGTTTCTCTCTCTTTTTTTTATTTTTACCTTTTCAGTTCAAGCTGAGTTAAAATATGAGAACAGATTTTTATCTCACTTCCTCACATGTTCAGCTCCCTGTCTCTACTATCTTCCTCTTACAAAGCAGCTAAACCCAGTATTGTGTCCTATTTAGATTAAAAATGCTGCAGCAGAAGATATTTGATGCTTGTCCTGGTTAAATGAAGTTTATAAAATGAGGACATGTTGAGAGGATAAACATATGGAAAAAGCCTTAAATAGGTTAATCTTTATTGCAGTTGTATAATCTCTCATTGAAAAAGAGAAAAATCCAAGCTTTTATTTTATTGTAACTTAGTAAAAAATGTTGACCTCACTATGAATGACTGTTTAGAGTGCAGATTTAATGCAGGTTCTCATTGTTGTAGCTGTCCACTCAGTGATGGATGTGAGCTAGCACCCCCTGCTGGTGACTTTGATTATTTTTGTTTAGAGCAAAGCAAATGAAATGTTTAATTCACTTTAGCTCTGATTTGTGAGTCCTTGATGAACAAGTTGCTCTGTCAAAATAAAACACTTGCTCTGAATCCATTCTGCTGTGTAATTTGACCTGGACTGTAACTCATCTGGCTTTAGTGCTTGTTTTACTTTCATTAATTTCTCTTTTGGCATTAAACATCTGTTGGCTTTTCATTAACAGATACCATGGACAAAACTAAAGACTCACCCAATTTCTTTGGTAAGTTTATGTTCTTGCTCCTTATCTATTATTAAATCATAATATTTAAGACTTTGGTTGGTGTTTAGGCATTAATCTTCCAGTCTTCCAATAATGCATAACTATCCAGTGATATTTTCAAATTTCCTGTCAATTTTAAACATTTTTTAACTCAGAAATATGGCGGTTTGTTGGAGAATCTCCTGGCGCCCCGAGCACTGGGCTTTGCAAGTTTTCTGGGCAAAACTTTGTCTTTAGTCACTTTTTATTCATCTCTGATGGACCTGAATCCAAAATGAAAGACACCCGCATGCTGAGCAAAACAAAATCACAATCTCTTTGAAATGTATGTTTCATTATGGCTCCAAAATGAATCCCCTTCTCCTTTTTACTTGTTGAATGTGTAGGAACCCACCGAGTATTGGGATTGTACATGCTGTATCCCTTGGAAAAATTTATTGCACTATATCTGTGATTATCTAGAGATTTGTCTTCACTCGCCATATATTGGGTTCTGATTTCATTCTGACCGCTTTGATCGCCTGGTTCTTCTTTGTGGCTTCGCTACGGCTGCCATCTTTAAGGGAGTAGGTGTCGGTTTACAGACTCTGTCCCATGATAATTGTTTTCCCTGTAGTCACCTGGGCTCCATCTTTACTGCTCCATTGTGTGATGTTAGAGCTCACACAATGCATTCACATAATATCATTTTCTTACACATCTTCTCAAGGACAGTCACAGACTGATTCTAAAGCCCCTTGTCATTGTCGTACTGAAAGATAAACTCCTGCCTTTTTTTGGAGTTTTTAAGGGTTTTTAAACTTTTCTTAAAAACAAAAATCTGCATATGTATTACATTAATAAAAATCTAACAAGAATTTTAAAAAGTGAGCAAATGAGATTGGGGATTATTTTGTGGAAAACTTTAAGGCCTAGTTAAGGTATAAAAGCAAACATCTGCAGACGTACGCTGACATGACCGTCCATTTAATGGTCAAAAGGAGAGTTAGTTAATTAATTAATAAGGTGCAAAATGTTAACTTTTGAGGAGTTACAATCATCTGTCGCTCAAGTGGATTCGTGTTGTCGAGGTTTTAGTCTACTGGACTAAAAATCTGAAGACGGTGACCATTGTTGAAGGAAAGACAGAAATCTGATGAGACCAAATATGAAAACGTTGTGGAGAAAACCTAACTTTTCAACACTGAAACACGGTGGTGCTAGGCTTTTTGTTGGTGTTAAAGTAAAGCTATGTGTTCTCTTGTAGACCCTGGATAAGGTGATAATGGAAATGAGCACGTGTGACGAGCCTCGACCCCCTAATGGTCCGTCTCCCATAGCAACAGCATCTGGACAAAGGTGAGCTTTTGCATTGCAGGAAAATGAGTTATTTGGTGCCAGAAATCTATTACTCTGATTTCTAAAATGCAAAAAGATGCAGCAGATGCATTGAAGTCAAATTTAAAAGTGATGCTTTTATTTAATCTCTTTACAAAAACCCGATATTAGCCCTCATTTCCTTGCTAATCACCGTGTTTGTTGTCTGCGCAGTGAATATGGCTTTGCTGAGAAGGTGGTGGAGGGCATTTCCTTATCCATCAACTCCATCGTCATCAAGATCAGCGCCAAGGCTTTCAACGCCTCCTTTGAGCTCTCCCAGCTGCAGGTGTACAGCGTCAACACCAGCTGGAGCATCAGCGACCTGCGATTCACCCGCATCCAGGACCCTCAGAGGGGGGAGGTGGGTCGGCGCCGGCTCCTTTCAGAGGAAATGGCTCTGATTAGGCTGCCTTGTGTAGAGATCTTTGACTTGTTAATGGTTTTTTTGGCTGCAGATCCTGACATTTAAAGAAATCAGCTGGCAGATGATCCGCATTGAGGCCGACGCCATCCAGAGCGCCGAGCACGAGATGCTGAGCGCCCCGATCCGTCTCATCACCAACCAGTCCAAGATCAGGGTCACTCTGAAGAGACGGGTTGGTGTCCGAGAAGAAACATCGTCGAGATTTTCTCTTAATTTGCAGCAAATTACAGCTGCAACTAACGGTTGTTTTAATAATTGATCTAGATATCAATTATTCTGCTAATCAGATAAAAAACTGGCACAATTTTCTGGCCGTTTAATTATCAGAATAATTGATAGATTAATCAAACTAATATAATCATTTGTTGCAGCGCCACCTGGAACTTTTTCAGATGTTTTCAACTAAAAAACATAAAATTGTGACAGACCGATATAATGTAGTACATAACAAGAAAATAAAAAAAGGATCATTTTAATTTTACATCTAAATAAATAAATTGTAAAGTGGAGAAAAATGGGTCTACAACCCACGACTGTTCTAATGATCAATTATTTTGATGATTAATTGAATAAAAAAATTGGCACATTGCCATTAGCCACTTAAACCTTTTTTATACATTATGAGAAATATATTAGAAGATGCAAAAAAAATAATGAAATTCCTATTTTACATGAGAAAATAAACATTTCACTGCCTGGAATGCAATAACTTAGCACTGCTAAAGCTACCTGGATGAAACGAAAAAAAGTTTGCTTGTAAATTCATCTTAATGTATATTTTTTGCACAGTTTTGGCTCAATTACTGCTCTAAATATGTTTTTTTTTCACCAAATGGCTTTTTTGATTCTGTATATTCTAGTCAATGATTAATCAGTCACTAAATTAGTTGACCATTACTTCAATAATCAATTAATCACAATTAATTGTTCCAATCTTAACTCAGAATGAAAAAATTGGCCTGAGAAGTTTCGCCATGCTGTCAGCCATCTTGGTTTTTCATGTTTATACGTGCGTTTCTTCCTGATGCAGATAAAGGACTGCAACGTTGTGGCCTCAAAGCTGATTCTCATCCTGGACGACCTGCTGTGGGTTCTGACCGACTCCCAGCTCAAAGCGATGGTTCAGTATGCAAAGTCCCTCAGTGAAGCCATGGAGAAGTCTGCTCAGCAGAGGAAGAGCAGGGCTGCAGACGATCAGGTATGATGAGTTCAATGAACAAATAACTCTCTAAAGTTGGTACAGTGATTTCTTTTTTAAATTTATTTATTTTACCTATCTGCTCTGTACTCACTTCTATTTAATCAGAAAATCCGAAAACATCGTTCTGCTAATCAACATTCACTTATTTCCCTCCCACTCATAATCACTTCGTCTGAAATTTACTGTAGTATGCCATCTGGTGGAGACATTGAACACTGCATGTTTTACACAATTAAAAGATGCTAAAAACTTAAATCAAGCATTTATGCACTCAGTTTTTTTATGTTTTTAGAGTTTGTACTGGTCCTGTAAAAATGGTAGATTTTCAGTTGGATGTTTTCAAGGTTTAGAAAGTGCCTGATTTCTGTACAAAGTCCTTGAAAGTGCTTAACATTAAAACTGCACAGTTTTGTAATGAAGTGGAAGCTAATGTTTTATTAAAAACTAAACATTTAGAAAACATTCATTACAACTGAGACCCGACATTTACATACACCTAACAAAAAGACATGAAGTTAAATCAGACTAAACTTTTCTTGCTTTCTGTTGCTTATTATTTCCTAAATTATTTCTATTTTCTGAAAAGGTAGAAAAATTCTTTAGATTGCTTTTTTGAAACTTCCTTTGTATATTGAGTGTTGGCTCCTAATGGTTTGGTAACATATTGATTGTCTTAGATATTACACATTAAACAACACATTAAATTGGGGATTTTATTTTAAATTAGTGTTTTATTCTTGGACCAGTCATGTGTGTAAGGTATTTGAGAGAGACATTTCAAAACATAAAAACAGACTGTATATGATAGTTAATTGAAAATGTCTTTTTTTTGGTATGTTTGTATCGTTTTCTTTGCAAAAGTTTGAAAACTCACCTTAAGAATTCTTGAAATCTGCTTACATTTTACTGTGGAACAAGCGTCGGGTTAGCACAAAAGAAAAGCAGAAGCGCTGAAAGACGCTGTCTGTGTTCACCAGGTGTCATCGCCGCCCCCTACTGCCCAACAAGTGCGCACCCAGCAGGCGTCCACAGCTGCTGACCAGAGTGCAACCATGGCCAAACTGTTCAGCGCCTACGATGTGTGTGAGACCTCACACCACCTCCAGATCACACACCTGGATCTGCACATCTGTGATGACATCCACGCCAAGGACAAAGGTATCAAATACACATTAGAAACACAGTAGAAAGAAAATAATCCAAGGCTTTTACTCTTGTCTAGATTTATTTTTCGCTCTCTTCTCCACAGCTACCAGTAGGAGGATAACAGGTGGAGCGATGCAGCTTTCCTTCAGCTCCATCACCCTTGACTACTACCCTTTCCACAAAGCAGGTCGGTTCTTCACTTCCTTGTTTTTGGTGAACCTTTCACTGTCTGTTCTCATGTTTCCTTTCTTTTTCTCAGGGGACAGTTGTGTCCACTGGATGCATTATAGCGAAGCCACTAAAACCAGAGAGACCTGGGCCAAGAGTCTGCTGGATGAGTACAAAACTGACGTGGAAAGGTTAAAGGGTGCGGTTCGAGACCAACAAGGCCCAGGCGCTGCACACGGCTCCCCGCATCACGGCTCCCCGCATCACGGTAAGCAACATGCACTTCTTCATACGCTGCAGATGCTAGCTCAGCAGGACGTCATCCCTGTGGGTTTTCTGTCCCTCAGTGTCCCTTAAGGACGAGGTTTATGAGCCTCTAGGAGGTCAGGAGGGTGCAGAAGGAGAAGTAGGGCTTAGGGAGGCAGATGGAGGTCTCCTAGATTGGAGCCCCTACACACAACCTCCACCCCAGTGCTGCTGGTGCCTAGAACCAGGTACCATTGTGTGTGTGTGTGGTTTTTGCGTACACCTGAGTGCGGTGATGCACACTCGTTGAAGAGCCCATCTGCTTTTGTTTGCTATTTCTTCCCTCCCTTATTTTTTCTTTTCTATCCTGTTTTGTTCATTCTCTCCAGGGAAGATAAACACCTCGTCCTCCTCCAGCGCCTCCTTCAGCCCTCCGCCTCCGAAGACGCAGCTCATGTCCAGTTCCTTCGTCCTCAGGATGGCGGACTTCAGCATCTACCAGGTCACTCAACGTTGTTTTCTTTTTTTGTTTGTTTTCTCCAAAAAAAAAGGAAAACAAAAAATTATAATTTTGCTTCCAAAAATGTTATGAACTCTTTATGTTTTAAGAAATTTAAGTTTGTTCTTGAATAAAACTCTGAAAAGTACGACAGAGGGGCACTGAAAAAAATAAAGCTGTCAAATTAAAATAAATAATCTAATATCTTTTAAATATTTGTCAATTATGTTCTTATTCTGAGAAATTTTATATATTTTGTTTCTGATGGCCCTAATACTCTTTTGTGAAAAAATGTGGCACGCTTCTGTCTGCATATGCTAGATTATTTGTAAAAAAATATATATATTTATATAGATTTGATTTGCTTTAATATCACCCACTGACAAAAAGCGTCTCCTCAGCATCATGCTGCCACTTTCATTTTTAACCTTTGACATTACAGTTAGTGTCACGTCAAATTTATTTATGCAGCACTTTTAAAAACGGGTTTAAAACGGCACCAAAATCCTTTACAAAGACGATAACAGAGTAGAATAAGTTGATGAAAAGAGAAACGATAATACAAAAAAATAAATAAGAGTAATACTAACAAGTAAATAAAATAAAAATCAAACATCACAGCAGAAAAGTTATCCTCTACTCTTTTACTCTGCCGTATAAAATCCCAGTAAAAAATGTTTATGGTTGAAAGGTGATAAAATGTGGAACAGCTGAGGCCGTACAGATATTTTCTTTTATGTTGACTTTTCTGGATTTGTCTTTCTTTTTTCCTCCAGGTGTCGACGGCAGACCAGCGGCGCTCCAGCCCAAAGACCATGATCTCCTGCAATAAGAAGTCGTTGTATCTTCCCCCAGAGATGCCGGCCATCCATGTCGAGTTTACAGAATATTACTTTCCAGATGGAAAAGATTACCCCAGTAAGACTTTTACTCAAACACTATTTATTTCCTTCCCTTTATGTGTAAATTTTACGCAACATTAATCCTCTTCCCTTCTTGCTTCTGTCGTTCCTGCAGTCCCGTGTCCCAACCTGTACGCCCAGCTCAACGCCCTGCAGCTGGTTCTGGATCCCCGCAGCCTGGTGTGGATCAACCTGTTCGCTCTGGACCTGAGGCAGAGTCTGGAGCAGTTCATGCAGATCTACAAGCTCAACGACTCGCAGAAGCCCGACGAACACGTCGACATCAAGGTGGACGGCCTCATGCTGAAAGTAAGCATTAAAGTTCTCACTACCCTCAAACCTGTTCCTATTTTATGACATTGGAATGACCTAGAGAGTGATATTCATGCCAGATCACTGTACATATTTAAGAGAATGGTAAAAGTTAGTTTTTACATTAAAACAACTCGTATGTGAATCCATACGAGTTGTTTTTATGTATTCTTAGGTTAAATGGGCAAATATCTGTTTTTTTCTTGTTTCTGCTCCCTTTCATTTGATTGATTTGTATATTTTCCTGTTATTTTTGTATAATTTTTTTGTTTCTAATAAAATTAATAGATATAAAACACAAACCTCAGAGTTTCGCATTCAGACTTGATTAGACAAGCGAGCATGAAATAGCACATGAATGTTTGGTGGCAGGAAAATGATACTTGTCTTTAAAATGATTTAGAAAGTACGTATAATTATTTGTAGAACCTTTTTTTTTCTGTTGTTGAAGCGTAACGTTCTCACACTCCAGTCAGGTGGAAGTACAGCGTTAGATCTTGTCTGCAGCCAAAACAATTTATTTTATTAATCAGTTTTTGACAATATGTTCCTATTTTTGGCTTGAACGCTACTTAAGAAACTGTCAGTTCTTTAAACAAATTGCCTGTTTAGTGTCCATTAATCGATAACTAAGTTAGAAGATGATTATTTCAGAAGTTGATTAATCACAATTATTTGTTCCAACGCTATTTAAAGTCATGTTTTCTCTGGTTGTTTTAGTTGGTGGTTCCCACGGAGCCGGATGCCTCCTACGCTGCGGACTTGCCTCGCTCCGTCTCCATCCAGACCTCAGAGATGGTGGCCACCAACACCCGGCACCCGCCCAACTGCACCCGCTCCCACCTGGAGGCCCTCCTGCAGGCCTTCGAAGGGGAACCCTTCTTCTCTCCGTCTTTCTCCACTTTTCCCCGCTCGCCCTCCTCCGTGCCTGTCCTCCACCCCGTCTTCCAGCAGCACGCTCACGAGCAGGACACCAAGCTGCAGCACGTCCACCGGGGGCTGGAGGAGCCCACCATGGGGGCGGATGCCCTCAAAATGCCTGCAGCCGCCGACTTCTGGGCGCTGCACTTCGCCCAGTTCTGGGTGGACTACGAAGGCAGCCGTGGCGGCAAAGGGCGGCCGCAGCCCTTCGTGGACTCGTTCCCTCTCACATTGTGGGCGTGCCAGCCCGCCAAGCTTGTCCAGCACCAGGAGAAGCTGAAAAGCTCGGCGGGAAGCGGCCTGTCCAGGAGCTCGTCAGCGGAGGCGGTCGCGCGTTTGCAGAGGAAACGAATGTTGAAGGAGTACTACAGCGCCGATAGCGACACAGCATCAACACAAAGTAACGGCCTACATAAACCTCACTCACTGGACAGCCTCCCCAACTCACGCTGTTCATCATCACCAAGTAAAGACGCAGACGTCCATCTGTTGGTGCATGTGCAGAAGCCGCTGAGCGCTCAGGTACGTTTGTGTTTTTATTTAGAAAGATGTGGCAGTTTTGTGAGAGATGATCCATATAAAGTAGATTGTACTGATTGGTTTTTGAAGATTTATTTTTTGGATTCATGCACTACTTCGGTTTCCATAGTTCATATGTCAGCACTGCCAGGGCCGCCATCTTGTATGACAAGGTTCTATTTATTTGAACTTTGAACTCAGGTCAACTATGTGATCAAATATTAGGGCAAGGCTACAAATTTTTATCTTTTTATTTACAAAAATGAAGTTGTGAGACAATAATGTGAGGATAAAATGTTAAAATTACCAGAATAAAATTGTAATAACATCAGAAAAGTTTGGATGCTCAATAAAATGACATCACATCTTATTATTCTAGAATCTTTTTTGTAATTAAAACGACTTTTTTCTTTAAATTTAAAATAAAATTGTCTTTTTTTTGCTAATATTATGGCTATATCCTCATAATTAAGCAGAATTACACCAGAATGGATGATTGAAATTAAAGTAACTTTTTGAAGATTTTTTTCTATCATTTGTAATTTATTTTTTAGAAGGAAAGAAAATGGATTCGGTCTGAAAAAATTCGAGATGTAATTTTTCTGGTTCATGATGACAAAGTACCAAGAACATTTGAATTTTTATTAATGGTTTTCCAAAGTGGGGCCCAAAAGGGGAATTTTTTTTAAAGCAATTAAACTGAATAAATTTTTTAATTTTAACAATATTTTCATAAAAAATCTACTTTTCAATCATTTTTGTAAAATATAACTTGATCATTTATTGCACTGGCGTTTGACAGCATAAATATGAGGGAGCTCTTTCACTAAATTAATACAATAGAAAGTAAAAGTGAGAAAAATCATCCTAAGAGTTGTTTTATTTCATATTTTGTTTCATTGTCTGCCGTTTTGCCAGTATTTAAAGCTGTTTGAGGGAACATGGAAAAGTTTGCGAATCCCTTATTTAGCAGATACGTTTAATATGTCATAATCATTTCTTTTATTCAAATCTGTGTTTCAGGTGAGTCATCGGCAATATGTGTTCCTGATGCACCTCCTGCGCAGCCTGAAAACCCTGCAGCAAACGCTGCAGCAGGATCTGGAGAACATGGCCTCCAAGAGAGAGCGCAAAGACGCAACGCACTGTCCCGCCGACCACAAACCCTTCACCTTCTGCCTGGGCCTCCTGCTGAAGAGCGCCGAGGTGTCTCTCCTCATGAAGCCCATTCCCCAGCCTGAGGGTTCAGGATCTCCTGCTGGGTCAGAGCTCTCCCCCTCAGAGAGCAGAGGGACGCTCGAACCAGCAGGTGATGCGGCAGAGGGGCCGGGAAGGGCCAACGGGGATCCAGGGTCTGAAGACGGAGGAGCAGCCAAGCAGCCTTGCACTGTAGACCTGCTGTTATGTAGCGAAGGTCCAGAAGGGGGCGCCACTCTGGGTGCTACCCCGTTAATTCCCTCCTCAACTTGTGAGGAGAGGACTCCGGTGACGAACCCGGACCGAGGGGCTTCAGAGGCCGTGGGGGAGGGCTTGGTGGATGGGTTAGGAACCGGGGATGAAGCGGGTTCTGGGCTGGACCCGAAAACCGCTTTGACCGACCCGCTCTCTGACTTCAGTGACAAAGAGAAAGCTGCGGCTGCAAAGATGCCTCAGTCAATTTCCAGGTACATTTTTCTTTATTTCTCAGGGCAGATGCAAACTTTAATCATGCAAAATGAATCTTATCAAATAGTAATTTGAGTCTTTCAGTTATTTAAATTTTTAGAGCCACGATTTGATTCAGAAATTTTTAATTCAGAAACTATTCAAACGAGATTCTGTTTAAAACAATTCTGTAAGTGTTCATACTGCACCAAATTCCCTCAATTTAGATTTTTCTTAAATAAAATAAAGTCAAAGAATTATTCAAAATGGACGGATTTCTTCGGTGGTTTAAAGCGATATGCACCATACTCGCAAATAGGCAAACATGTACAACTTAAACGCATCTTAATATTTATTTTCAAGCATTTTCAATCTGATTCAATTGTGATCAAATTCAGAATTGATTTATTCTGAATTCAATCAATTCAGAATCAGGATAAGGGATTATGACTCTTTACAGAATATTTTTTCCACTGTTTTGTTTAATATCTGAAAATTGAGTCTATGCAGGAGTCAATATACCCTGTTTATTTTTTTTTATATTTTGGTTTTGATTCATAAAATGTGACTCAAATATAATGGGTCACATTTATCAAGAGAATTATCATTTCTTGCAGCAGATTTTAAGAAATATCGGTGTCTGTAGTTGTCGTCTTAATCTTAACAGCAGCTTTTTGCACACTGAGTAGTGAGGGAAAACTAATGCAACATTTATTTCTGTCTTCATAAAATCTGACTTTCTTCTCTGTGTTTCTGAGAACCGTTCTATCAATAACCTTCATGTCTTTCTATCACTGATCCAATCTATTCCTGAACACAAGAGCTTTCTGTCTAAACTTCCAGTCAGTCATTTCATGTTTCATTCATTGTCCATCATTTCTGAGCTCATTAACTCTCTTTTCTGCCTCTTGCCTTTCACTTTGACCGATGTGAGGTGTGTGTGTGTGTGTTTTCTCTCTACCAAGGAAAGGAAGTTTGTCTGTGGTTTCTGATCTCCTCAGCTCCTCAAACTCCAGCAGATCCACCTCCCTTTATTCAATGTCTAACATGTAAGGCTCTGGATCTGTGACTAGATATGGTAAAGAGTTGACTTCACACCTGCAGCGTGACGTGTGTGTGTAGTAGTTTATTTTTTATCGACACATCAGTGCTCCCTGATCTTCAATTTCTTGATCTGGTCATGTAAACAAAATGTTACTCAGTGTCAAATATCTTGGTTCACTTGAAATAAGACAAAACTGACATACAAGTAACTTTTCAAGATACAGGAGCTTCCTTTAAGTAAATTATTTCTCAATATGGGTAAAAAACTAGTAGTGACAAGTGATTTTTTTTTTGTCAATATTAAGGAATTATTTACTTGAAGGAAGCTCTTACGTCTTGGTGAAAAGTTAATTTTAAGTGCATTTCAAGTCTATAAGATGTTTAGACTAGAAACTAAACTAAATTTACTTGGTAAAATTCTTTGTTTTTTCAGTGTAAATGGCTGGGCTGTATGATGCACCAGTGAGTCTTTAAGAAAATTTCTTGGTCATAAAACACTTGCTGCTTTCACTCGTCTGTTTTAAAACGCCCCCAATTGGAAGCACCAGTGCTTCCATAAAATTGCACAAATTGGGATAATATGCTCAATAAAAACCCAACAGTTTTGAAAATAAAACACATTTTTTTATTAAAATTTTTTGCAGTAGGCTGAGGTGCTTTTTCAACTGTATCAAAATGAGTGTATTTCATAATATAAACACTTTTTATTGTGATTAAATTTGCAAGTCACATGATCAAGAAGTATGTTACTTCTGATGGAATGTACGAAGAAGACGACAGGAAGTGGTAGGAGGAAAAGGCAGACATTTTCTAAATAACTTATCTCGTGAACAAACTGTGAACAAACTTATTCATGTGTGATTTTAATCATTTTTTGGTTGAATCAAGACACTGAAATTGTGAAAGTTTTTTGTATATTTGTAATGGAAACGCAGCTGGTGTGGCTTTGACTCGTTGGATTCAGATCCTACCAGCCTTTGGGACATTAATGCAGTTTTCTAACTAAAATTCACTGTAAATAAATTAGGAAATATCCTTAATCAGATCACTTGCTCATCTTCTGATCTATAAATCCTAACATTTGCATTAAAATCATATTCTGCTGCACATATTTGATAAATAGACCCAGTTAATCCCGTACTAATCTGGTTTGAGGTTTGTTGTATTTTGCAGTTGAATATATGATTAATTTACAGCAAGTCAACTCTGGCATTTCATTCTTAAACTGTAATGAAATAAAACCCAGCGCTTTCCTGCAGATCTTAAACGAATTGTAACGTATGGAGAATGTGTAAGTTGATGGACAGAAGATGTTCTGCAGCAGCGCTGAGACTAAAAAATGTGAAGGAACTCGAACATGACACGCCGCAGATGTGAAGTCAGCATCAACTGTGTGTGTGTGTGTGTGTGTGTGATCGTGTTCTTGTTCTCGTAACGGTCTCATGAATAAAATCTGTGCAAATGTTTGTGGATCCCCTGGTGGGCATGCATTTGCATGTGTGCACGCCACCCTGTTTTATTGTCTCTCTCTTATAATTTTCTTTTATAATAATCTTTTTTTCTTTTTTACTGTTTTGATGTTAAAACAAGATGCTTTGTGTCGTCTTTGTTCGTTTTTAGCCTTGTGTTCTCTGTTTTATTTCCAATCATTTGTAGCCATTAAGTGAGTAGACATGACCTTAAACAGCCCCACACAGAGGAGATGATGCATATTTAATTCACGGCTGCCTCACTGAGCTCTGGGAGCCTCAAATCTCATTTGTCAGCATTATAAAATGAATATTATACCTAATAAAATTGAAAAATTGTACCTATTTTTGTAAATAGATGTCTAATTTGATCTAAGTGTAGTCGTTCCCAGAGAGTGTTAGGATTCAGTATTAATTTTCTTCTGCTTTTTGCATCACTTCTTCTTATGTGTGTTTTATTTCTGTAGCGGTCGTTTGATGCGCGATCGCTCCCAGTCCAGTTTCTCTGTGTCCTATAAGAACATGAAGAAGAGCCCGTCCCTTCAGTCTCTGGACAACCTCTCCATAGACAGCTACTTGATGGAAGACGGAGACACCTACAGCTTAACGGAGAGAGGTGGACTCAGTTGCATCCTCTATAAAAATACAGATACACTTTTTCTTCCTTTTTTAACCTCCTAAATGCTGTTTAGGTTGTTTAGTGTTACAAAATTATCACTTTCTAAAAAAAAAACAAAATATTGAGGCCCAAATAAAGTTGTCAATGTAGCAGGACAGTTTATAAATACCTTAGTTTCATGTTTTATTAAATAAAATTGTAAATATTTGGCTTTAATCTCAATTGTTGCATTTGGAGGACAGATGCAATGCTTTATAAGCCACTTTAAAATAAACAATAATGTTGTTTTGAGACCATTTTCAAGTTATATATTGCTAATTGCTCAATAAACATTTAATTTGGAAAATAAAACTTAACACTGAATCTGGAAGATATTTCAAACATACAAAATAAAAAATCCATCAATAAGAATAAATAAAGAGGAAACAAAAAACACAAACAAGGATTAATAAAAGGAACTATAGTGTCTCCGTAAACAAAATGTAACTCATTTCAATTGATTATGCAAGTAATTTATTTATTATTCCAACAATCTGAGTTGTACTGTGAAGAAATGTTCCATTTACCAAGTTAGCATCTGTAGCTAACTTTAATAAACTTCTTGTACATTTTGCATCTAATCTTTTGCACATATCAGGAGAAACGGTACTTACAAGATGCTTATCTCTACCAGCAGGGGGCAGCATTGTGCTTATTTTCAGTTGAGCAGCTTCATAGGAAACCATAAAAGTCTTATTTTTCTTCCTCTTGTTATATTTTTTTCACAGACGATGTGTCCATCTCAGGCTTCAAGGACGCTATCAACGAGCAGAGCGTCCTGGAGAGCGCCGCCGAGGCAGTGATTGTCCAGGACAAGGACGGGGCCGCGTCCCCCGACAGCGTCAGCGCCGCCTCCCAGAGCATCGACGAGCCCGCCAAAGATACGGTCAGAGATCCAGGAAGTCTTTGACACAGAAGAAGTCAAAACACCAGCAGATGATGATGGTGACTGTCCTCCTCCAGGTGTCTGTGCTGGTGCTGAAGGTCCAGACGTTGTGTGTGGGAATGGAGGCGGTGGGCGAGAGCTCAGCCGTGACCCTAGAGGTCGGTAGGGTCACTCCTAACCAGCTGGGTAACATTGGCCTCAGAGAGTACCTCAGCAACCGCAGTCTGGGTAAGTAACAACCATCTACACGATCGACTACGGTTTCTGCATGTTTTCTATGTTGCACCCACATTTCACAGCTTTTCCATATTTTATTTGTAGTATTATTTTGTCTTGTTTCGTGTGGAGCTTCTTTAAATTATAGTTGATATTGGAGATTGTTAAACATACATTTCGATCTCCTGTTGGTGTTTTTTTTTTAACACCAGAACAATTATGAGACAATTGCGAGACAGAAAGAGAAATGAGTGACTTTCAGCCAAGAGCAGGAAGCTGCAGGATGTTACTGGAAAGGTTAAAATGTTTTTCTTAGAAAAATAAAAAGAGTTCCTGAAATATAAAGGTTTTAAATGAGCTTTTACTATCATCTAGACTAAGGAAAACAGTATTTTAAAAAGAAAAGTTTCTTAAAAAGCAGATTATATTTAAAATATTTACATTATTTTTAAATTTTAGGCACTATAATTTTAGTCTGAGTTAGAAGCACAGAACCTGGGAATATGTCCAAACTTATTCAAAATTAATTTGCTGTACGTCAACTTTAAGGTTTCAGAAAGGCGAAGTTGATCATTTCATTTTCACCTTTTCTGAATTTCCACAAATAGTTTCACAAACTGAGATTAGAGATTATATTTTAAATTCAGAACTAATCAACGTCGGGTCAGACACCAAAGATGCCAAATCAGAAACCAACATTGAATTGTAATTGTTTTTATATTTAAATATTAACATTATTCGGAAAATATCTATAGTTACGCTGATGATACTCAGCTATTTTTATCCAAAAAGCCTGACCAATCCAATCCAACTCCAATCAAGACTGCAATTAATAATTCCAGTGTAACAAAATGAACTGTGTTAGAATGTAATGATATGATTGGATTCAATTGGATTGTGAACAACCTATTCAGGTGAGATTAGGAAGATAATCGGAAATGCTCAAAAACGAGATGGCATATTAGTTTGTTGTGTTCAGTTCTACAGGTCTTCCACTCTAACACAGCCATCCCTGCTTCTGTTTGATTTACCTCCTGTAACCTCTCTACAGGTTTGGTGTGTTCAGTACCAATACCTGCTCAGAGCAGCCCAGGTAACCGCTGGGTGTTAATTCACCACGACAGTCCTAACATGCATGCTTGGCTCAGCGCATCTGTGCTTAACATGTTTACACACATGAAGCGTGTGTGTTTGCTCTTTTTTCAGCAGCAAACGGGGAACACTTGAGTGTGTGTGTGTGTGTGTGTGTGTGTGTGTGTGTGTGTGTGTGTGTGCGTGTGTGTGTGTGTTAGTGGCACTTAATGAAAGCTAGATTTGTCTGTAATGCACTGAGTGGTCCCATTATTTGCAACATTAAGCCCCCCAGTCTTTAAACACGGCAGATTTAAATTAACTTCTGTTTTTTTTTGCGCGGACAGATTTAACCCCTAATCCTCCCCTTCTCTTCTCCGTCTAATTCTCTCCATCCTCCTCTTCCTCTCTCTTCACTGCAGCAGACTTTGCAGTTTCAGTCCAGTGATTCAGGCAATGAAAAAGACGCCAGCTTTACCCCCCTGCCACCTATTTCTATCTCCCATCCTCTCTCTCCTTCCCTCCAATTTTACTCTCCCTCAAGCTCGCACTCCATCTTCCTCCTAATCCTGTCGCTCACCCCTCCGTCTCCACCTTTCCTTTTCTTCTCCAGGCCATCTTTTCACTCTCCTCTCTGTCTTATCTCTCTCATTCAGTCCTTCTGAATAGCTTCTGGCTTTTTCTCGTTTTGCATTTTCCACCTTTTTTATTTTGTTTTATTATTTTTTTTGCCCCAACTGTAGCTTCTCAGAACAGAGAGAAAATGTCACTTCATGTAGGAAAAGCTGGCAGCTCTGCGTGTCTCTGCGTTTCCTCTCCATTTTAACCCTCCATATGTTCTTTCAGAGCTTCTTAAGTGGAATCAATATGTTCATTTCCATGACTTGCTGAATGATGTTTTGTGATCTGTGATGTGTTTCAAGCAAAATTATGTCTCAACTTCAGCTTTTATCACATCATTTTCAGAATTTAGATTGCTCATACTTGAACAGCTAAAGTCAGGAAACATAATTAAACACGAGTGTCAGCTGGAGCTTGTGGGACGGTAAAAAGCCTCTTTCACTTCTTTCTTCCTTTTAAGGGAATCTCTGCCTTTTGTCTTCAACTCCTGTTTATGATCTGCTGCTGCCTCCTTTACAGTCGCTTCACGTCTGACTTAAAGATGCTTTTAAACCCGACATCAAAAATACTCCACACATCACTTCAGTGGCTGCTTTTGAAGCTATTTACCTGGAAGAAAACACCTTAGATTTATTGAAACAGCCGCTTAAAGTTCATAAGGTTATTTATGAAAGATTAAGGAGATGTAGAACGGATAAGATATTGACTGCTCATACCATCTCAACACATCCCACAAAGTGTTACAATACCGGAAATGACTAAATAATGCTTTTATATGATATAAAGAAGTACATTCTTATATATATGTTAGTCAATAATTAAAATATTTGAACAATTAGTAATTATCCATTATATCTTTAATAGGTTACAGTTTTTAATTCAACCTAGTAAAGATATTCTATGTTGTTAAAAAATAACACTTTTAATCTATTAAAGGTATTACAGGTTAAATTAATAGTTTAAGCTAAAAAAAATTTTTATTTAACCTGTTAAATAGAATAAATAATTGTTTTTAAATGTAACCCATTAAATTTAATATGTAAAATAAAAAAGTAAGTTTTTGACCTATAAAATGTAATTAATTTGAACTGTTAAATAGGTTTAATAGGTTGAATTAAAGTGATTTATCTTTCTAATTTCAGCCTATTAAAGAATTAGATATTTGTTGATGTATTTTTTTGTAATCTAAGTTCTGAATTAAAAAAACAAAAACATGTGAGATTAAAATGTATTTTTGTTTCTGTGGCAGTAAATGAGACTGATTCAGAAAAGTTACAAAGTTACATTTTACGCTCTGGAGTATTTTGAGGTCAGAGGTCAAATGGGAAACGGCTCGGACTGAGCCGCTGTGTTTTCCTCCACAGCGGGTGGGGAGACCCGCTCCGACTCCAGCCGGGGTCTTTACAGCCCGGAGGTCCGGGCTCGCCTGGAGAGCGGGCCGAGCGCCGCCACCCACTCCCCGCTGGCGGAGCGCAACGGCTTCCTGCAGCTGCATCTCCATGGATACCAGGCCAGGTTCATGATGGCGTCGCTGCGCAGCCTGGCGCTTTTCCTGGAGGGCGACCGCTCCACCGACGTGATGCCCATGGAGATCAGGATCAGGGACACACACATCAACTTAGAGGTGAGGAAACCCTTTACTTTACATTTGAAGGTTATGATCAGAGTTACATTTACTTCAGTAACTTTTTGGAAAAAATTTACTTTAGGAGAATGAAAAAACTTGTTTTAACTGAAAATTCAGACACACACCAGCAGTTTTGGTTGAGGTTTTATAGGTCTTTTATTGATTTGGAAACATTTATTTTGTCTGATTTTGTAACTTATATGAGATCTTGTCACTTTTCTCCTTAAAATCCCAAGATTTAACTTAATTTTCCACTTAACTTTACATTTTGGTCCTTCTGATGATGTAATTTTTAAATATTTAATGATTGGTAAAGAGAAACTGATCAAATTATCAAATACGTTTTTACTCTTATTTGAACAACTTGATGCACGGATACTTTTTACTTTTACTTGAAAAGTTTATTTACCTCTGGTTATGTCATATAAAGTCAATTTTGATGTCATTTCCTGTCTACAGGAGGGAGACGACGCCTCTGACAATCCCGATGCAGAAACAAACACGCTGCACGTGGACAGCCTCGTCGTACGCAGAAATGACGACGGGTCTTTCTCTGTCGGAGGTAAACGCAGCATCTACATCAAATCCCCGCCTCACCCTGCTGTAAGTAATTACAAACTCTCTTGTCCTTCGTCACAGTGGACGGCGGCGCAGAATCCAAACCCAAGAAAGCGCCAACCGACAGCGCGCTGAGTCCACTTCCTGAGGCGGTGAGCGGCGTCTGCAGGACAGCGAAGGCGACACAGACTCAAACGCCGCCCAGCAGCCCCAGACCCACCGACAGGGAAAAGGTCAGACTCTAACGATGAGATAATCTGCAGTTTGAAGGTTAAACTTGTACATTTGGTAACATTACAACTGCAAACTTTAATGTGTTTTATTGGAATTGGAACCAGAACCAAACATGGAGAAGCAGCATTCAGCTTCTATGCTGCTTTGAAATTTTCTCGATTTTGCCACAAAATTTAGAGGATCATCACTTCTTTTTTTGGCTTTTTCACACTGGGATCATGTCTCTGCTCTGCTTCCAGGTGCTGCTGGAGGAGAACGAATGCCTGAAGGTGGAGCTGTCCAGAGCCAAGATGGCGCTGGCCGAGGCTCAGATGGAGAAAGACTCGCTGCTTCACCGCATGAAGAGCCTAAAGATGAACACCAGCTAGAACTGCCTTGTCAGTGACGAGCTCCAACTCTGAGTACAAGAAAAAGAGGACTTTTTATTTAATTTTTCTACTTTAACTGCACACTTTGTTGAGGGAGATACCACGACTTGTGACTTTTGAAGTAGACTAAGAAATGTTTTGTTCCGTTTCGTTGAACAAATGCAAAAAGAAAAGAAGATATTCTGTTTTAAAGCTTGTGAAAAAGATGGTAGAAATCTATCATGTTTTTGGTGCCTACAGTAGATCATCCCTCACTACTCCTGTTATTAAAACCACCACAGAAACCTGGAGATCTGAAAGAAAAGTGAATGTCGCATCTTTAGGGGAATGTCAAAAAAAGAGAAAGAAAAAAGGCGACTTACTTTGCACTGCGCTGAGTTTTCAGTGCGTTCAAATTCAGCCTCTAATTGTACAAGAATGTGAACATGTATTTTCTACAGAACCTTGAGGGGTTTTGTAGTGTTTGCAGTTGAATGTGTTTTTTTTTTTTTGTGTGTGTGAGTCTCAGACAGAACAAGCATTTTGGACAAACATCGGTTCACTTTACAGCTTTTTCAAATGCCTCAGAATTAGCTGTTGCCTCCACGTTTGTCCTATTTTTATATCTGTAAATATTCAATGCTGCACTTTTTGAAACTGAGTCACTGTAAATACAGTGATCACAGCTGTGGGAGAACAATTGGAGCAAAGCGTGAAAAAAAGAAACGGGCCATTTTGAAGCTGCCCAAAAAAATCCATTTCTTTGAAAGACTTTCATGGACAAGCAATGACAATATTTGCTGCTTTAGTCATCCCTGTGTGATAAATTACATGTTCATAACTAAAATCAACTTATTTTTCTAACAGCAGGACAGTGAAGGTAACTTTAGCTCTAATATTTAACTGTAATAAATTTAGTCCACATGTGCAAAACATCTACTCCTTCAAAAACAATTTAAAGTTATTGTTCCTCCAAAATAAAAAAAACATAAAACTTTAAATCAATATTTTTGCTGCAATCGTTTTCTCCCCTTACTAGGAGGTAGTGAGCAAAAAAAAGTATTTTTTCTGTCAAAGCTGCTGAAATATTGATAGAAAATAAAGGATCAATTTTGAACGTTTCATCTTTTTATGATGTTTCTGGTTTGAATTTCCTTCCATTTTGTAAATATAGTTGAACATACAAAAACATAGCTTCAACTTTTATTAGGTACAGTAGGTAAATAAGTATTTTTTTTTTTATTGATGTGAATCTGATAATAATGACTGACTTGAAAATTTGGTGGTGTAAAAACTCATTTTCTCCACTGCTTGTTATTAATTTCTTGCCAACTGCTTACATTACAAAGCTATCCTTTAAAAAAATAAGAAAAGCTGATGCAATTTGTCTTGCATCAGACTTCCTGCCTAAACAGCATAATGTGCCTCACAATAACATGCCGCTTAACTCTTTCTTTTATCTCCACCTTGGCCCAGTTTCATTGATTTCTGCTGCCTGATGCAGCAATTCCTCCTTGAACAATTAGTTGGAAAACCCATCTTGGCCGCCAGATTGTTGTCAGAGCTTTTAGCTTGCTGTTATTAATTTTATGCACATTTTTAAAAAGCTTAGGGCATCATTCCCCTCCTGATAGGTGAAAGCTAACGCAGCTCAGCAGTGGCAGCAACAACTTAAATGTGAAACTATTGCATTAGCTGCTTCGAAGCCCCCAATGGGGATTTTTTTTTTCTTTTGCGTCATCTCGCAAAACCTTTGCGAGGGGAACTTGGAACTTGTTGATAAGTTAGAATTTTGGTAGTTTTAATATCTTATTTCTGATAGCATTACAGAAGAATACTTTTGATAAAATGAAAAATACTTCCTGTCTAATGTTGCACCCCGATTTGTTTGTACAAGATATTTCATACTAGTCCATAACTCCTTCGCACTCGCTTTGACAATATTTTGAACTAATCCTGTATTGAAATACGACTCTAATCAAATTTCTCCCGGCAGGAGGTTGCTTAGCTTGATCCTTGAAGAGGACTTTGGTCTGAAGCTCCACAGTATAATTCATTCTGCAGATTTCCATTTTCCTCAGATTTAAAACCCCTTCGAGGATTTTTACAGCAGGTGTTTGACCTGTGGCTCACCTTCGTTTTATGATGGAGCATTTCTGAATTTATGTGCAGCAATGCAATAAAAGGAGGTAAACTCTGTATGTAAGAGGAGCCAGTGATCTGCTGCACGGGCTGTTTGGACTTAAATGGTCATGACATTTTACAGCTGTAGCGGAGCAGTGCATCATGGAAGGACGTTTAATAGCTGCTCACATGTGTAAATGGAAAGCTGGGCTGTTTTCAGCTGGAAACCTGCTCAGATGCTGCAGCCTAAAGCTGCTGAGATGATAGCGGAGGCATGGTGCTTCACAGGAAAGGATGTATGCACTTTGAGTGTTGCGTTAAAGAGAGAGGAGGGAGTACCGGGCGTGTCTGGACCAGCTGGATTGTGAAAAACACTGAGCTAGAGAGGAGACAGGTTGTGTCTTCGCAGCTTCTTTTCCATTATTCCTCTGATTTTTCATAGCTTATTTCGGAGATGATTGTACGTTTATTTAACATTTGAAAGTTTTAATGTTAAAAGAACTGAATAAAAGTTCTCTCTAGGGATTCACTGTATTTCTGTAATTGGCACTAGGAGAGCTTATCTCTTGTATTAGACTGTCATAATATTAATGGATGATATTTAAGGTTTCTTTGTTTCTACTGAACAAGTAAGAAGTATTTTTCATTTTATAAACAAAATTGTATTTCTCTGCTCAGTGATGCAGCCTGCGCTCTTTCTCCCTGGTAATGAAAATGTTGAAGTGTATGCTGCAGGGTTGTGGTCATCTTCATCACTTCCTTATCTGCTTTTGGTTGTGACTCAAATATTCATAACATCATCACATGCTCTGACACAGCGTTTTTAAAAGCAGTCACTACATCTAGGAGGATTTAGCTTCTTAATTTTGGGCTTATGTACTGCATTTGTACTCGCAGCTGAACATAACTCGTCCTTTTAACCAAAGGATTAACTTTACCATGCGCTTGTCTTTTCCATGTTTCCATCATCTACTGAAGCATAATCTGCATTAATTAGATGGATTTGGTCCTTAGAAAGGGAATGGAATTGGTGAGTAACACTTGAACGATCCAACAAGAGGGTGGGTGAACTGGAATGTGTTCAAAAGATTGATCCTAAGTCTACATTGGGAACTAAAGATGGAGTTAAAGCCACAGGAGCACAAATTCATCGACTTTCTTTTGTGCAAACCTTAAAAACAAACATGAACATCTTTTGTTTGCTTATTGCTCTGAAAGAAGCAATAGAATCTCATACTGCAAGTCTAAGCTTGACCTTCACTTTTCACTGACTGGAATAACTGAAAACATAGGTGTAATAATGATGCTGACAGTAAAATCATGATGCCAACATCTTTTAGAAAACATGAGATACAAGGGAGATGAAAACACTTTTTATTTGTTGAAAAAAAGGAGCAGAAAACCGTTCATATTTTTTCCCCCTTACAATTCATATTCATGTGCTACTTTTCTATTCTAATGAAGCAACAGCGTGAATGCATCATGCAGGTTCCTGCTTGCAAAAAAGGGGCAGAGTCAGATGGGGGGGATGAAGGTGTCCGCCCGTATTATGGCTGTCAAAGCGCATTAAATCCCTGCTCCTGACTTCATTTTGCATTATTCACACTAACCCTGCTCTGACACGGCTGGCTGAGGGGAAGAGGAGGAGGATATTTTTGGGATATCACCTGTTTCCAAACCACATTTCGGCTGCAGCGGCGCGCCGATTGAGAAAAAGAGAGACAACAATGCCAGCACGGAGAATGATGAAGGGCGCATGCGCGGCAGCGAGGGGATAAGTTTTAAATCTCGCAGAAGAAGAAGAGAGTGAGAGCTGCGGGGTGTTTGGGTCACTTTTCCCCCCACAAAAACAGGGACACACAAAGTATAATTCATTGATGTTGTAGCATCGTTATCCCCACCCAGACGGTACAGGGAGCCTCTCAATCAAACCAGGGGAAATTGAAGCGGAACACGGACTCAGGCACTTCCAAAATAAAAGCATTGCCGTTAATCAATAAACAGGAAGAACCGGTTAAAGTCAGTGGTGCTTCGGAGTTCAACGATAAAGCAAACAGTATGTTGCATTTAATCATTTTTAAGTCATGTTTTTCTTTATTTATAGCAAAATTAGTTTATGTGTGTTTATCTATTCTTATTAGCATTTCAACATCTTTGGTTTGTTGAATAGCTACGCCAATGAAAAACTACTGCCACAGATCTCTGGTTTCTCAGGCAAAACTTGTTTTGATGCAGTATTGTTTGTGCAGTTTACTTGTGAATTTGCTAGAAAATTAATAATCTTAGACATTTTCTATCAAAAAATTAACATTTTCTGAGATCATAAAGTTGGAAATGTGATAATTTATCATTTTTCTCAAAAAAGAAATTCTTATTTCTTAGCATTTTCTTGCACTTTTTTCTTCTCTTTTTGTACTTTGGGAGCTCAGAAATTTCCATTATTTTTTCTAGAAAATTAATTTTTTTCCCCTATCTACATTACACGCAGAAGACTGTCCACGGAGATTCGGGGTTTTATTTTGAAAGGCGCCAGCGGAAGTCAGTGTTTTAGTGTGGTGGAACTTGACGGTTGAGTCTGAGCCGACCCTGATAACCGCCGGAGCAGTGCGGTTGGTTCGCCCGAGAGACAGGGAGGAGGTGAGCGGACTGGAGGAGCTTTTTGTGGCTGCAGACGGAGTTTCATCTCCAGTTTGTTCCCAGCAGAAGCTCCGGAGGAAACGGGACAAAGAGGGAGTTTCAGTTTTTATTCTTTTCCTCTTTTTTTAAACCGGCTGTTACTCTTGACTCCGCGCGTGCAAAAGGGGGATTTGTTTCAGGTTTCAGGATCACACACCGGGAGTACATCACGCAGCTGTGGATGTGAATCAGCTGAGGTTGCAGGGCACCAGGGGAGCCGTGCTCTGCAGCATCAATAACACCCACTTCCACGCAGCGAGAGGGAATCCTTCCTTAGATGCTTCCCCGCGGCAGACGCTGAGGAGTGGAGGGATTTTATGGAAGATTTGTTGGATTTTCTTTGTTTTATTAATCGCCCTGTCGTTGCAAACTTGAGAGTCCGGGATGGGGAAGGAGCAGGAGCTGCTGGAAGCCGCCCGCACTGGGAATGTCGCCTTGGTGGAGAAATTGTTGAGTGGGAAAAAGGGAATACTGGGGTCAGGATCCGGCTCCATCCCTATCCCCAACCTCTTGAGGTAAGCAGCCTCCTTCAGGTGGAGCTCTGCGGTGTCCTGGGAGTCCCAGGGGCGCTGCAGGGGATTCCTGGAGGTTTCCCTTTCTGCAAATTTAGGCTATTTTTAAATCTTATATTAAGTGCACTACAGTTATCACTTATTATTACAACTGTAGCACAAACGGCACATCGTGCATCAGCATTAGCTGCTGCAGGAGCTTTATGTTTATAGCATGAAGCTGAATACAGACGTATTCACACCCTTTAAAACGTCTCACATTTAGTCAGGTTACCACCACAAAACCAAAAATGTATCTTACTGGGAAAAGTTTTGGCACGCATCTGCTTTCAGGCCCCGTTTACTCCGATATCCCTAAATAAAATAATAAAGTTTTCGCTCTGTCAGGGTGAAATTTCTCTTGAGAAGCAACCAAGAGGTCAGTGGTGGCTCTGGAGGAGCTACAGAGAGCCACAACTCAGGTGGGAGAATCTGCTGCCATGACAACTGTTTGCAACGCAATGCAAAAATCTGGCATTTCTGCAGACTTGGCAAGAAGAAAGCCATTTCGTGTCCTGTTTTTAAGTTTTTCTAAAGCGGTGTAGGGAAAAAGAGTTCAAATTTAATATAGGAGTGGAAATTTATCATGAAAATGTTCTTAATATAATGATATTGTTTATTTATTGTCACAATAAATTCAACTTACTGTTAAAAAACTGAATAAAATGTTATTTCTGCTATTTTATTTGCTGTTTTTTCCATGAGATCATCAGTAAATATCAATAAATATGGTTAAATAACTGCTTTATGTAAAGTTTGACATAAATCGCATTTCCTTTTGGCATTTATATTTGTAATACTATGAATTCTGTCGAGCATTTACCTAAAACAGAAGTAATACTTAGTTTTTATCATTATCACAGTAGTACTACGAAATATTGCAGTACTATTTAGATAAAATTCTAAGTCTATATCGTCCATTCCTATGTTGGCCCTTTCACCAACATGCAAAACACTATTTGTTGGTCAAAATTAAGCATCGTAATGCAGGGTTTATTGGAATAGTTTAGAATGGCCTAGTCAAAGTCCAAAATTATGCATTACTTTGAGCTGCTCTGTCAAATCCCATTGAAATACACTCAAGTTTGTGGTTTTAACATGACGAAATGTGTATGACTATGTCTGTGAGTCACTAAGACTATTAGAAAATCTGAGTGAAATGAAAAATATTGGATTGCTTGTCATTTTCTGTTCTCTCCTGGTACCAGGCGTGCTTTCACTGTTAGGTGGGGAAACCTCTGCACAGTGAGAACAAAAGAACAGACAGCAGCTACCTAGAGAATCAGGGCTGTGACAGCTCCTATAGTGCAGGGACACACTTTGATGCTCAGATGATGGAAGCATTTGTAACTTTGAGTTCAGTCTTTCACACATTTCTCCATGCAGCAGGCGGTTTTAAACTCCAACGGTGCGCGGATGTAAATTTTCCATCGCTACGTCGATCATTTTGTGTGTTTGGAAAGGACCGAGTCTTTTTGCATGAAACCTGGCGAGCTGAGTGTTGGAGTTGACGGAGGCTTTTAACAGTGATCGAAACGCTTCCAGCAGCATCACTTCTATTTTTGTTACAAAGAAAGAGGATGTCCAGTTATGAGGAAATGCAATTTGACTGCCGGGCTACTGCACCTTTTGCTACTGTGAATTTTTACGTTAAATGACCCACGAGCCAAACGAAAGCTTTCACTTGAAGTGCGGTTTTGGTTTTCTTCCTCTTGGTCTGTGTGTTCATGCTGACGCTGACCCAGGTGATAATCAGATCAAAGTTAGGGAGGAGTACCGCCTCAGGCGCTGCCCGTCCTCCACTGTGTTTCTTGACCGACTGCTGGGGAAAAGCTATATCACTTTGTAAAAGAAGTTTGGTTTAACTTCTTTGTAGGCTATTTGGAGGTGAATATTGAAATTTCCTCAAATTCAGCAGCACTGAAGCGTAAATTAGCACCAGGGGCTGTTTAAAGGTAGTTTTTGTTTATAACTTCTAGTAGGAAGTTGCAGATATTTTCTGTGGGCTGTCAGTTCCCGAGAAGTATATTTTGTGTGCAGTCTTTACGTGCGTTCATGAGTCTCTTCCCTTTTTTCTGCAGGGTTAATAAAAATTAATGTCACCTTCCTAAAATCATTTTTTGACTTTGGCAAAAAATGACCAGAGCCATGATTTTACGAAGGTGAAATTGTTGTACACAGCAAAAGCCACAAATGCTACTTTTATTAGCTGTTGCTGCTGGAGATTTTTAGCTGGTTGGCTTAAAGATCCCCAAATCTAGACTCTACGGTGGCTTAAATTTTTTAGGTCTTTTGTTTATCAGAATTTGTCCAAGTAGACAAGAAAATACTTTCTCATCTATAGTTGCGTTTCCATTAACCGCAATATTCCGCAAATTGTAATTCTACTTAGTGGAAACCTGCAAATTGAGAAAAAAGTCATGGTTTTTAATTAAAAAGCTTTTGAACTAGGGCATGGTGACTTTTTGGCTGTGTCAAAATAGATGTAAAACTGCAATGCAATTTTTTTTTTTTGCATTGACAAATTGTTTATTAGGAACTCAGTTTATGATGTTTTAAGTGTGAACATTTCAATAGCCAAATTGAACCAAAGTCTTACGGCGTCCAACTGGTAGAAAAGCCCAATTGAAGACCCAAAACTAATCGGAGAGACTAAAAACCCGTCAAGTTTTCTAGTGCTTTGGGTTCCCCCACAACGAGTGGCTGACTGTGGCTCCCTTTCTACCTGTCACACCGATGATGAGTAAATCCTGGCGTTAACAGCAAGCTAATAGATGGAAGGATGAAAAGAAAGAAGATTGGAAACCATGGAGGTTTATGTCCAGTCAGCTGTCACCATTGTTACTGTTGGGACGGTTGCTGATTGACGTGTCGCTTCGAGCAACTTCGTTTCTTTATAAAAAAAAAATGGTTTCTAGATGACGTCCTTTCTGTCGGGTCTCATTCTTTTAATAAATAATAAAGATTCAGTTGATGCCTACAAATTATTTAGCTGTACTCAATTATTGTGTACCACTGAGCTACGAAATACCCTCAATATGTGTTTATTTTTTATGAATTATGGACGTAAATAATGAGAAAAAGGACCAAATGTCGATTGTAATATATTTTAAGAGTATTTTTTATTTTAAACCCAGTTTTCATTGATTCTGAGTCATTGTGACAAGAATAACCCAAGATGACCCTTTTGGTGGTTAAATTGAAGTATATGTTATCAAAAATACTATGCCATAATTTTGCCTTGCTTATTTGATTGACATGCTCTTAACACAAACATTTGCTGTGAATAACCAACTTAAAATCATTAAATAAATAAAAAGCTTTAACAGAACAACTACTAATTTATTTTAAAAAAGTCAGATTATTTCTAAGTTGATAAATTTGCTTCATCGCTGCTATAAATGCCTCTTAAAGCGACCACAACACTGACGTGTCATTAACTCCAAATGTTTGTTGCAAAATGTTTCAGTGAAACCTTGACATGTTTAGTTGGCGATTCATAGAAAACTCTGCATGTTTCTCCAGGAATTTATTCCAAATAACTTTCATGATCCTCTTTATGAGCTTCCTGGTATATTAGTAGTGGAGACGGCGGTTTTGTGCATAAGAAGACGTTGGTGATTTTCTGAGGCTCGTCAGACATCTTTTGGCCTTCAACAGGGACTGTCTTTATGGTGATCATTATGTGGTTTCCTTTAGTGCCTCTGAACATCACTACAAAAGACTTTCAGTGATTTAGACTGATGTGAAATTTGTTTTGTCACTTAACCACTAATATCAGTTCTTTATATTAGTTGGTGTTACGTGATGATATGACTGAAAAACAATATAAACCTTCCATAACAATAATTATTAATGTTTTGTTTTTAAGTAGCCAGGCAACCAAAACGCCAGGGAGTGAATCCCCCAGAATGCCTTGCGGTTATGGATAAATTCAGTGAAATTATTGAATATTCTATTGATATTGATCACCTGCCTGTCGCAATATGTATCATTATTGATTTATCTCGTCATAGTATGATGGTGTGGAAATATTTTTTGCTTAAATCTGACACTACCTGTTGTTGCTTTACAGTTATTTGCATGCATACATAGTTTATTGACACATAAACTCAAAGATGGAAGGCAATGTTTAGGAAGTAGTAGTAAGAATGTGCAAAAGGAAAACAAAAAGTCAGAAGTCGGAATTGGCCTGTTGGTAAATCTTAAGCCATTGATTGATCAAATCAAAATCAAATCAAATTTTATTTGTATAGCACATTTCAGCAAGTCATTTCAAAGTGCTTTACATCATAAACACAAAAACACAAAGTCATGCAACATATAATAGACAATACATTGTTACATATTACATTTCAAAAACAATTCTAAACAAGTGTGTTTTAGTTGCGATTTAAAGGAAGTCAGGGTTTCCGCTGTTTTACAGTTTTCTGGAAGTTTGTTCCAAATTTTTGGTGCATAGATGCTGAAAGCTGGTTCTCCTCTCTTGGTTCTGCTTCTGGGTATGCAGAGCAGACCAGAACCAGAAGACCTGAGAGGTCTGGAAGGTTGATACAACAACAGCAGATCTTTGATGTATTGTGGTCTTCTCTCCAATAGATACTTTGGTTCTATTGAGTCAAAATACTGGCATATGATTTATGCCTCCAGAACTAGTAATATTGGGTGAGAAAACATGTACACAATCCTACTCATGTGATTAGGATTCAATCCTACCCCTGCTATCAGAGCGCTCCCTTCGGTGGGTCATCAGAAAGGTTGCAGCAGAGGAGGTGTGTGTGTTGGGTAATGTTTTAGGAATGATCTGTGGAAATAAATGCATAGTTTCCCACCCCAAGCCAACGACAGCATTCCTAAGTCATAAGGTTCGCAGTTTTCCTGAAAGAATCGCCCTCGATGGACTGGACCAAAGGCACTCTGCGTGTAAAATCAAACATATGCGTATTAGGTAACGGGATGTGGCG